ATAACGCTTACCCTCATTTAGGGGGGCGCTTGCTTTAGAGGCTCATGTAGTTTTTGCTGTGCATCGTACCTGGCTTATTTTTATGGCAGTGCCTTTCTTTAATGAAAATAACCATTATGACGGAAAAGACTCCAATCTATTAATACATAACACTATTTATTTTAACGTTGTTAATTATACTTTCATAATACTACCAGACTTGTATGGAATAAATAATTATATGAATAAATTGTGCAAGTAAATAAACCTGACATGTGTTAATGAATTAAATACATTATGCAAACTTATTACCGTTATTTCATCATTCGTTCAGTTGCCACTTTATTCTTTATTTCAATAAGGTTATTTCTTATTTAAAAATGTTTCAAAAGTCTGTTTTATTTCATAATGGCATTTTTCCCCAATGACAGTTTTATTTCATACCAACTTTTGTGTCAAAATGTGACTTCTTATGAAAGTTTTCACTATTCCCACCCCTTCATCTACCAGCCAATCACATGGTCTTTAGGGCTCCACAGTACTGTGGGTTCCAGGAAGTGGTAAAAGGTTAAGCAGGGGCTTCAACTAATGTTTATATTCATTATTTGATATGTGTTGTTTTTTTTTCTCCAATAAATGGGTCTGAAAATTGTCAAAAGTGCTCATCACACATTCCCATGGACCAAAACCTCATCTTCATTGTGCTTTTCGTACCGAACTGGATTGCCAATTACAAATACCAAAAGAGATTCAAAATCATAATAATTGAAGGAGAGAGGAGCCTATCGTCATTTTGAGCTTGAATGTATGGTATTTTTGCTAAACGAATGATTAATACAATGACATTTTAGAGAATATGCTTATGTGCCTAGCGCTAGATAAGGCGATCAATACTACTGTCATCTCTGTGTGATAAGGCTACAGCCAGCAGTCGGTTAACTTAGCTTAAAACAAAGACTGGAAACAGGGAAAACTGCTAGCCTGGTTTCAGCCAAAAAAAAAAAAAATCACCTACCAACATCTCGTGTACAAAAAAAACAACATAACAACAAAACGACAATGTGTGTTTGTTAACACGGCTAACCAGCTACTGAGGGTAGGTTCATCTATAGAGTGAAAGTGCTATATATCTTTGTATATCTGTCAAAATTGTCAATTAGTTTTCCGTCAGTTGACTGATAATTAATAACCACTGAAAGAACACTATAAATGTCAACTATACTTAAATGTGTCCACAGTACCACTTAGCTGTAAGATGAGACTGGTGGCAATCTGAAAGCCCGCTACTGTGTATGGATCGTTGAAAAGGCTGCATTTTCAGCACCCCCCCCCTTGCAGTTTGAAGGGCACAGCCATATCGCATGCACTAGTCAATCTCTGAAGAGCACACACGCCGAGTACATGCATATACACGCATTTAGCTGGTGCACTTTTCTGCAGAGTGACTCACAATGAGAGCAACAGTGGATCCAGCTCCGATTTTTAGATCTCTTATGAAGCAGAGCAACGGTCAGAGACATAGTATCCTGAAAATATGCAACCTTGGCTGATACTGTACGAGATAATGTGGAGGGAAAATAAATGGGAGAAATAAGAGCTAATATGAGCAATCGAATACATTTTTCATTGAGAGAAGGACAATACTGAAGAAGGGATATTATCTTATCTGTCACTGGACCCCTGCAATTGTACACCATCTGACTGTTTTGGGATGGGGAAATATCTCATAAACCACAGCTGCTTCCAGTAGATTCAGAGAAATGCTGCACCTTTTTATCGGTTTTGGTTTAAAGGGAAATTTATTTCATCTGAAGTTTTGTTTTAGGAGAAAAAAGCTTCAACAAAACAGTGACGCCACCTCGCTATGAAAACATTTTTAAGTGAGAAAGCTAGAAAAATCCACACAACTACACTATATTACTGAGAAAAATCTAACTGACATCTGTAAGAGGTCTTATCTGGAGTTGTTAGCTATGAGATGTGTCTGTGGAGGCCCATCTATTTCAGCTGTAGGATACCATAAGCATATAAACTAATCCATACAGAGGAATGTACATTTTGCACACTTATCTTCCAAAAGTAGAGTGTGGGGGACACCTGGGGCCTTTAAATGGATTCCACAAGGCACCTAAGCAAAATGAGAAGCAGTGTACTTTTGCTGTTATTTCATTGCCTTGCTGAAATGTTCCTACACTGAAAGAATGCATAAAGATGACTGGTGAATTATAGATTCCATTCCACCTACTGTGGATATCACCGCAGAAACTAAACTGCTTTATGATTCTGAATCAAGAAAACCAACAGCAACAAAATCTAGTGAGTTCCCTTCTACTCAGTGTTGCCTAATGCTGTCTTTGGTGTATATCATGTGGGGATGGGCAATGATTTAATAAGAATGCTAGGCATAATGCAAATGTACTGACACATTTGTAGTGAGAGGGCAGAAAGGCCAAAAAGAGGTGGGAATTATGAAAAACTGCTTCTTCATTGGGATTTATTTCCTCAGTTTCGTTTCCAAACCATCTTAAATAAGATTTTGAAATAATGTAAACTTCTCTTTTAATAAGTTCCTTCTTTACAGGTTCATTGCTTATGTGGATGTTTTTAATTGCAAAATTATTTTCTAGTATTGTGATACGGCTGATCCTCCTGCAATCACAATAGTTACATTTTCTCCATTCTGGAGGTATATTCCTCCCCTTATCATTGTCTAGTCTGTAGGGTTTGTTGAATCTTGTACACTGGTGTTTTATTATCCCGTACAGCCATTTTTAAAATATATACATTTAAATATACAGTTCTTAAATACAAGCAGCATTCTTAATTTGTTATTTACAACAAATTCCACCAAAAGACCAAAATCAACAATATGTCCGTTTCTTTAATTTTTTAATTTTTTTACAACCGGTGGGTACTGTTGTTTTTAGTAAACATTACTCAAACAAGACAAAATGGGGCAACAAAAAGGTGTATGCGAGATTGAGTCAAAATAAACTACACCAGTGTGTCCTTGGTAATGAAGGAACATGTCAGTTTTTGGACAACAATGGAGCTCTAGGGCACAGCAGAATAAGATTTATCAGGCTTATCACACATTAAATATATATCATGTTTTGAAATTCCTATGATAACTTTTTGCACCTCTTTTGTGGCTTTTGTAAATTCTGAGAAAATGAATCAAGTAACATCACCAGTATATCTTGTTTTAGGTTTACAGACTACATATTTTTAAAGAGAAAACTTATAGACAGGAGGCATTTACCAGACAGAGAGGATCAAAGAAAGAAAGATACTGTTGGTTAAGAAATACAGGATCCAGCATTTTTGGAGTTTGACACCTCCAAGGCAATTAATGTCAGGCTATATTCACCTCTAGTGCTTCGATTTTCCCAACTGTGGAAGTGTAATACTAAATGACTGGGGTGTCATTTGAATATCAGGGGAGGCTTGATATGGAAAAGTTTCAACAAGACACGACTGTGGGCTTTATGTATTTGAGTATTTTACAGTTTGATTTGAAAAACTCCTTCACGCCCACCTGAACACGTTCTATAATGGCCACTCCTGCATTCATCAACACCAAACACTCATCACAGTCTCGAGCGTTCAGTATTGTCCTTCACCGTCATTCCATTCATGATGTCAACATCGATGTACACTCGCACTGCCAGTAAACATGTCAATAGAGCTCTGTGTGTCATGCACTCTGTCTTTCATTTACACACAGAATATATATATCTCACAGAAATGTCCACATTGTCAGCACGTCTTTAAACATATACCATGAGGATGGAAAGAGCTATCAAATGCACTCTGCAGATGCATGTGGGTGTCTGTAATGTAATGTTTGCATTGGGTTTGGGCTTCTTTTTCTCCCTCCTACATGATTTGTTTGACAAGACATCTTCTCCAACCCCGGGTCTCCGGCAGTGGCAGTGGTTGTTAAGTATAAATCTGAGCAGCAGCTCCTCTTCTCCTAGGATTTCTTATGGCCACATACAGTAGTCTCGACAAAGTCGCTGACAGGTAAATGTTGTGCTTACATGGTTCAGAGAATTTGTGAGAAATTGTGGGGTGCGTAGCAGGCATTCAGGGTGAGTGATGGAGCAACAATATCAGACACACACACACACACACACACACAGGCAGACAGAGAGAGAGGCAGAAGGAAGATATTCATTAGGTAGGAGAGACAGCAGGAGCATGCACACAAACATGCACATTGGTGAGATGAAATAAAGTAGAGGTTGAAGGACAAGTCTGATTCAGCGCCAGTGTATATGTGAAATTATGTGAAAGGAGTAGATTGTGGTGTACACACGGACACACACGCACTGGTGAGATGAAGTAGAGGTTAAAGTCAGATTCAGCTCCAGTTTCAATGTAAATTCATGTGAAAGGAGTAGGTTGAGGCGCGCACACATACACACGCACACAAATGCAACATGTTGCAAAGTTACAGTATGCACAAAAAATACACAAATGCAAAACAATGTTCATTCACACTCACCCAAACACACACACTTCCACAGCATGGTCAGACTGTAGGGCTGCAGTACAGCATCTCCACAGGTATTAAATCGTTTAAATACAAATACTATGCACAAAACTATATGAAAAAGAGCCCGAAGGCTCAAGACCCACGTGTGACCTCTAATATTCATCTGTAGGTGCACCTTCTTTGCACAACGTTCATTTTTGGACTCATTTTTTACTCCAAGGAACACATTCGTAGTGCCGTCCTACTCCCTGTGCATGAGGAAGCTGCCAAATAAGCCTCCAACCTGATTCATCTAAATTCAAATTCTCAGCTCTTCCTCACCCTCTGCTGATGGATCGGTGCGTCACGACCTGAACGATGTCAATGTGCATCTGACCATCCGAACCCGCATTATTGTCTTGTGCGTATCAAGCCGAGAGTGCACTGCGCGTAAAAAGGGCTCTTGGCACGCACAGCATTATACTCTTATAGCCCCTTATTTTTAATTCAGTCCAGCGTGGACATACACACATAAACTCACCCAGGGTGTGAGCGCAGGTCCTCCTCGCGCGTCTCTTGATGTTTGTCAGTGTATCCAGTAAAACAAGGTGGGAGAGCTAGAGCGGCAAAGGCGCTAAAGAACTAGTGGACGGCAGCCAAACACCACCGACTTCCCTCCTTCTTCTTGTCTTCCTCCTCTTTACCCTCGTTCGCGCTCTGCTTCCCTCACTCTTCCCCTTCTCCCCGGGGCAGGTGGAACAGCGGATGTAATAATCCAGGCATTGTCCTCTTCATTCGCACATTAAAAGAAACACGGATGAGATGGAAAGACTCCGTTTCGCGTCACAAGACACAAGTTTTGAGTTCAGGGGACTTCTGTCCAGTGTGCTCCGCGTTTAAAAGCAGTCTTAAGCGAACAGTGCGCGAATTTAAAAAGCTCCAAATTGAGATCTTGAGTCAAGATGTGCAGTTGAAATGTGGCTGCAGACGTTGAAAAAGATGATTTTTTTCAGAGTGACTGATAAACACATGAGACAAGAGCAAGATAAGGAAAATAACCATGGGAGATCTTCTTCTCTCACTTCCCTCTCCGGACCAAAAAAACTCTCCCTTCAGAGGGATTGTAGCGCACCTGCGGCCGGAGCGGAGACGCGCAGGTATCCGCAAACCGAGCACCCTCCTCCCCTTTCTGTGTGTGTGTTTTATTCCACGTTTTTATTCCCGGTCTGCTGAGTCTCTCTGCGCCTCGGTCATCACTCAGTGTCAAGCCTGGCGTTGTATCTCCAAGTAGCAATGGGAAGCGCCTCTTCTCACCAGCGCTCTCCTCTCCCCCCCTCTCTCTCTCTATCTCTCTCTCTCTCTCTCTCTCCCCAACAAGCTCTGTCCATCCTCCTGTTGTGAAACCACACCTCTCTCGGCAACGATTGGCTGGAACCCGCAGAGAAGGAAGAGAGGGAAGGAGGTGAGCGCTGCGATGATGCGCACTGAGGAGAGGAGGAGAGAGAGGGATAGAAGGAAGTCGAGAGGATGGAGAGAGTGGGCAACAGAAGATAAACCTAGATGAGAGAGAGAGGAGAGGATGGAGAGGAAGATGAGAGAAGTTGGATGAAAGAGAAGTTAAAGAGGAGGGAGAGTGTGCCAGGGAAACAGTATAAGGGATGCAGAGAAACTGTGTGTGTGTGTGTGTGTGTGTGTGAGGGGGCAGTTCATGCACTGAGCTTTATGTGTTTAAGCCCAAAGGGACAGACTGGCTAATGAAAGTGAAAATGTTTCCCTCCTTTTTTTACCCTCTCATTCACTCGCAGTGCTTTAGCCAAATTTGTCTGCTGCAAATCTGCTTTAACTCCAGGCAAAACTGAATTCATACTGACAGTGTCCCCCATTACTGAGCAGAGTCATACACTTTTGTCTGTCCGTCTCCAACTCTTTATAAAAATCTGGTGTCTGTCAGCTAAGCAGCTTCCTTGGTGAGTCTGTGATGAATAAGTAAGTGGTTGAAGGGAGGCTGGAGAGCGGAGTGCATGTTGAATATGCTGCCCAGGGGCGTCGGGAGGGAAATAAGTAACGGCCTGAGCAGCCTCTGTAATGGGAGCAAATGAGGTGGGCCGGATATTCCGATTGTTATGGCGCAACCGCACATGTTAGCTGCAGACAAAAATCGCTTGACAGCTCATGAGAGGCTTTGATTGATGGCGACGCTCCAGGGAGTGTTTCAATATGAACTTGGTTAACTCGGAGCCACATGGAGCATTCATCACTAGCTGCCATATAGGAGTGAGATGCTCACCGCAAGCTAGGCAGCATTTTATTTAGAAAGGCACCTGGGGAACATCTTCACAGGCTCAGCAACTACCCATTTGCAGCTATTTTAAGGTTCACATCAACAAATCTCTCAAGCAAGTATCAGTGACCTAACTGCAGCTACTTCAAGTCACTCATCAAGTTTCAAGGGTGTAAGGATAGACGTATGTTGTAGACATTGCCATGAAACAAGTTTGTATTTTTGCAATATATAAATAAAAATGGTACTGACTTCTAAAAATATTTAAATCATTATATTCACAGTGCTTTTATATTAATATTTTCTGTAGTTATGTAGGTATACCCCATGATCCTGCATAAAGGGTATAGATAATGAACAGTATGTTAATGTTAATTTAATATTATGTTAATGTTAACGCTATGTTGATAATAATGTTAAGAGGTAAAGTAACTGTTACGAACTCAATTTGGACTCAAATGCAAGACTCGGACAGGGAATGACTAAAGATATAGAATTCATTGTAAACAGGACTTAGATGAAGGAGAGATATCTGGCGTTGGAGATGGTAAAGTAGTTCAAGTTTGGGAATAATGGCAGAGGAGATGTGGTGAATGGGGAAGGCTACGACTATCAATGAAATTGATGATTATCAATGTTTGTCATTAAAAGCCCTCCAGTGGATATTTACAGTAAGTTAAAGGGGCATTATGTAGTTTCCAGCGGCCACTAGCGGTGCGGTTTTAAGATTGCAACCAGACGTGTGCTCGTACGCGTGCTCGCTTGAACTCATGAGCGAACATAACCTGAAACGCAACCACTTTCATACAGAAATCCTGCAATAAACACAGAAACAGCAGCATGCAGGCTTTTCACTCGGGCATGTTCAGGCTCTGTTACTTCAACGTTCCCGGCTCAGAGGAATGCGCCGTCCGTTACTTCATGTAGGCCGCATGTTGGCACAATCATCCTGGAAGAAAGGCAGAATGACAGCGGCTATTGACAGACAGAGCTGGGAACTCAATGTAAACTCCCACTGCAACGTTACAGTAATAGTTTTATCAGCTGCAGGTTGAACTAATCCATGCTCATTATATGATCACGGTACATTTAATGCATTTAGCCGACGTGCTACATCGTTAGCCCGCCTGCTGCTTATACATAATACCAGTGGCACACAGGATAGTAACATGGGTCGCGTTTTTGGTGAAGTAATGTGGAGAGCGATACAACTTTGCACTGGATAACATTCGCAAACTGCTTGGCGAGCTAACGTGATTTTCTTTGTGTTTCTCCAGCTTTTCTGAAGTTCACTGTGTTTTTACTCGACATCATCTGAACCTGTTTGGTCTGGTGGGTTTCAGTACACAAACCTTCATTGTTGTTTTGTATCCTTCCATGGAGCCTGTGTTTTGCTGTGAGCCGGTTATTTTATGGTGTTAGTGGACTGCATGTCGTTAGCTGCCGTGTTGTCGCTGTAGTATGAGAGCGCGCACATGGCTGAATCCGACCTGGAGACCTCACATTAAATGCAGAATAGTGGCTGATGTAAGCAACGGAGAAAACAGGCGTGTGCCTCAATTCTAAGTGGGTTTTGAGCCCACTGACAATACGGCAATGAAAATTTGATTTATTAATAATTCATTTCTATGAAAAAATTACATATAGCCCCTTTAACAGAAAAAAAAATAACAGTAGGGTGAACGCGACTGAAAATAATTGTGAATGAAAAACATATTCCTGTTTAATAGGAAACTGCATATTGGTTAGTATACCATGACTCTGTGGTACTGATGGAATTAGTGCTATGGAAACATTCACTCCCTAAACAGTAATACATCTCATTCCTATTTAGCATGAAAGTCTCCATAATTTTTGATACTGTTGAAAAAAGACTTGCTTCTGGTATGTGCCCAGCAGAAGGGAAGTTAGTTACATATGGACTAACATCAGAGGCGCAGTCTAGGCCTGTTTGGCAGAGCAATAAATAAATGAATGCCTGCCGCATGCACCCAAAGGTTTGCAGCTTCAGAAGGACGAGGACGCCAGTGGGATATTGGATGGAGTCTCAAGCTTGAATGGGATCAGATGAGCAGAGAAACAATGTAAATTAAAAGTTTGTTTCTGTCAAAACATTCACGGCTCAAAATGAAAAACTATTCAGGCGCTGTTTTTTATGTCTGCCTGCACGTATACAGGTGCACATACACAAGCTGCAGGCACTGTCTTCAAAAATAGGTTTGTTTTTGTTGTTTTGTGCTTTGTTCTTCCTGATGAATTGGTGACGAATCTGTTTATTAAAAGCACTTTAATTATAGATTTGATTGTACAAACTGAGTTTTCAAATTACACTGAACAAAATTATAAGCGCAACACTTTTTTTTGCCCCCATTTATCATGGGCTGAATTCAAAGACCTAAGACTTTCTCTATGTACACAAAAGGTCTGTTTCTCTCAAATATTGTTCTGGGTATTGGACAGGTGTGCCTTAGGCTGGCCAAAATAAAAGGCCACTTGAAAATGTGCAGTTTCACTGTTTGGGGGGGTCCGGAAACCAGTCAGTATCTGGTGTGACCACCATTTGGCCTTTTATTGTGGCCAGCCTAAGGCACACCTGTGCAATACCCATGCTGTCTGATCAGCATCTTGATATGCCACACCTGTGAGGTGGATGAATTATCTCGGCAAAGGAGAAGTGCTCAGCAACACAGATTTTGCCAGATTTGTGAACAATATTTCAGAGAAATAGGCCTTTTGTGTACCTAGAGAAAGTCTTGGATCTTTGAGTTCAGCTCATGAAGAATGTGGGCAAAAACAAGTTCTGCGTTTATAATTTTGTTCAGTGTACATCCCTCCCCTCAGTTTAATGTGCACATACCGGAGTCAAGTCCTCGCTGACAGCTAGGGGAGAACATTTTATTGGCAGGTTGAGCATTGTGCAAAACCATTTTACATTTTGTATCACTGTGAAAGCCAAATGTGCTTCTTTATGTCTCGCTCCTGCTCTTGTCACACCTCCATTCCTCCACACCCCCACTTGAAACAAATGAGGGCTTAAAGTAGAGACGTCTAGAACAGTAGACCGTGATGGGAGAGGAGCAAGAGGATGACAGCAGCTCACTGAAATCCACAGGACATGTATTTCTTTTGTCTCGAGGCTTAGAAAGTACATCACCCACTCAGTAGCTCAGCTTGATCTCTCTTTTTTTATTATTTGCCTTTTTTTCCTGGTATGTGCTGGGATGTTAAATACTGGCTAGCATGGACATTATTTTTTACGCATTGAATAATAACCACATCTTAAGGATATGTCTTTTTATTTCATACCGTGATAGATTAACATATGGGAATCTCTGATGGCTGTGTTTGAAATGCCAAAACCTGAATAAAAATGCAGATCAAAGTGGGATACATAAAAAAGTGCCATTTTAATGCATTAATGGGAAATCTGAGAATGTCTCCAAAGACTGACAGATATTGGCATATGTATAGCGGTTCAGAAATGAAGTCAGACCTAATTTTGACTATATCCCCCTGCAACGATCTTAGTCAGACACCTAACTGTGCGTCAATACGAAAAGTTTTCAATTTTGACAATCAAAGATAAAATATTGTGTGGGCATTATGAGAATATGAGTTTCAGTCTGTAAAAATATCAACACACAGGAGCTAATTCCATGAGCTAACGCAAGGAAAGCATACTATGGGGGTCAGCATATTTGAAGAATAATAATGTCTTCAAGCAATCTTAAAAAACTGTTGGAACATGGTGTCAAAGCGTTCAGCTTTACTGTAACTGTGAACTAAATTGTGTCCATTCCTATATGTAACTTTCCTGTTGTCTGACACCCTATTGGTTTTTACTATTAAGTGATTTCATTCTGTGCAATAGGTGGGAACTATCTTAATTTGCATTGACCAGTTAAGTGACATCAGCAATGTAGCCTATAATGGTAGCTGTATATGAGTGTCTGGATCAAACGTGTTTAATGTGTCTTTGCATTTACTTTACTGTCCTAATCAGCTTTAACGCACCAACCCAGTGTCTGAGCATAGGTATATATGAT